GGTGTGTACCTGTAGTCCCAGCTACTCAGGAGGCTGAGGCAGAAGATTTGCTTGAGCCTGGGAGTTTGAGGTTGCTGTGAGCTAGGCTGATGCCACGGCACTCTAGCTCAGGCAAGAGAATGAGACTCTGTCTCAAAAAAATAAATAAATAAAATAAAATAAAATGCTTTTAAAAACATTTATTTTCTAATTGTTACTGGCGTATAGCAATTGTAGTTGATTTTATATATTAAGTTTGTACTTTACAACCTTGTTATACCCTCTTAATAATTCCTACAGTTGATATATGGATTTTTTTCCTACAGGTTTACTGAGGTATAATTAACATACAGTAAAAACGTCCATATTTAAAATGTAGAATTCTTTGAATTTTGATATAGATATATGCATGTACCCATGAAATCACCATCACAGTCATGGTAATGAAGATATCCACCACCTCCAAAGGCTCACCTCATGCCCCTTTTCCTCCTCCCACGTCTTAACAACCACTAATCTTCTTTCTGTCACTACAGATTATTTTGAATTTTTGAAACTCTTTACAAATAAGTAGAATCACACAATGATGTACTCTTTTGATTCTGGCTTCTTTCACGCAGAATAATGACTTTGACATTTATCCATATTGTTGCATGTATCAATAGTTCTTTTAACTGCTGCATAGTTTTCTATCATAGGAATATGCCACAATTTATTTATTCAGCTATTGATGGACATTTGGGTTGTTTGTAGTTTTCACTATTAAAAATAAAGCTGCTATGAACATTCATGGGCAAGTCTTTGTGTGAATATATGCTTTTGTTTCCCATGGGCAAATACCTAGAAAGGGAGTGACTGGGTTTTATGGTAATTATATGCTAACCATGCCTGCTCTAGTTATCAATTTATTGCCTTTCAGCTCCCAGTCTACTTTTTTTTTGTTTTTTGAGACAGAGTCTCGCTCTGTTGCTCAGGCTAGAGTGCCAGTCCACTCTTGATTGCCTACTCTGTAATAATGCAGATGGGCCCTGTAAACATTATTCCTCTGGTGGCTGGTGCAATGCTAGGCTTTGTCAATAGAGGGCACTGGAGGGACATACTTATTCCTGAGAATCTAAACTGTCACTATGGCCCACCAGTGACTACCTGACAAATGGAGTTTTAGCTTATCTGACTCACTCACAGTGGGCCCAGGAGGTCCATGGGCCCATCCCGGTATTATTTTTCTAGTTCCTGAATACATAATTGGTGTAGGTATGCTCGGCAACTAGCAGAGGTAGACACCTTAACTCTGGCCCATGATGTAAGGACCATAATGGGAGGATTGCTTGAGCTCAGTAGTTTGAGAGTTTGAGGTTGAATGAGACCTTGTCTCAAAAAAAAAAAAAAAAAGCCCTAACAAATAGAGACAGGGAAGGCCATGAAGAGAAGGGTTCTGGTGCATAAATGCCTGATAATAGGAACTATTATCAAATGAGAGACTCTATAAAAACCACAACTTTGCACAAAGCCCAGTACAACCTTACACTTCTGTCTCGCAATTGCCTGTCCAGGCTCAGCCTGGCATTACCCTTGCGATCGATCCTTGTGGCCAACGATAATGATCTGAAAACACTTATGTAATCCTCCTCATTTTCCCTTTAGAAATCTTCATCTTTCTTTTTTTTTTTTTTTTTAAAGACAGAGTCTCCCTCTGTTGCCTGGGCTAGAGTGCCGTGGCGTCATCCTACCTCACAGCAACCTCAAACTCCTGGGCTCAAGCGATCCTTCTGCCTCAGCCTCCCGACTAGCTGGGATTGCAGGCATGCGCCACCATGCCCGGCTAATTTTTTTTATATATTTTTAGTTGTCCAATTAATTTCTTTCTAATTTTAGTAGAGATGGGGTCTCGCTCTTGCTCAGGCTGGTTTCGAACTCCTGAGCTCAAACAATCCGCCCGCCTCAGCCTCCCAGAGAGCTAGGATTACAGGCGTGAGCCACCGCGCCCGGCCATCTTTCTTTTTTTTTCTTTCCAAGAGATGGAGTCCCCGTGTCCTGTGAATATGTGCATAATTTACTATGGCGTGCATATGTATTCCCCTTGCAATATCCTATTTCTGGATAAATATTATTTTCTTTTAAATAAATATTCTCTGTCCTTTAGGTTGACAGTTACACATATTGCAATTGTCTCCTCCTACTCTGTGGCCTGACTTTTTTACTCTCTTAATGATATATTTATACGAATAGATGTCTTAATTTTAAAATATATATTAATATATTAATAAATATATCTTTTTCCTTTATGATAGCATTTTTTGTGATCTGTTTAAATTTTCTGTACTTTCTCAAGTTTGTATTTTTATTTATTTATTTATTTTTTAGAGACAGGATCCTGCTCTGTTGCCCAGGCTAGAGTGCAGTGGCACAATCACAGCTCACAGCAGCCGCAGCCTTCCAAGTAGCTGGGATTATAGGGGCGCACCACCATGCCTGGCTAATTTTTAAAATTTTTTGTAGAGATGGGATCTCTCTATGTTGCCCAGGCTGGTCTCAAACTGCCGGCCTCAAGTGATCCTCCCACCTTGGCCTCCCAAAACACTGAGATCACAGGCATGAGCCATCCTGGCCAGCCTTATAAAAAGCATTTCTTATTTTCGTCATTTAAAACATGAAACGCTAGTAGAAGTAGTCCACCATAGCCTCATAGTTCTTGTTTTAGCGTGCACAATTTCTTTTATAAAAAACGTCAAGTTTCCCACTGTCTAGCACTTCTGGCCCTGCCTGGCCTAGGAAAAAGCTGCCCACTCAGCAGTCCCATGACAAGAGCCCCTGCACAGTCTGGAGATTATGGGGAAGGTATGGAAGACCAATTCTAACCATAAAGCCACCAAGAAGAAACTTCTGAAGTCAGAAGCTGAAAATAGACCAGGCACGATAGCTCACACCTGTAATCCTAGCACTCTGGGAGGCCGAGGCGGGAGGACTGCTCGAGGTCAGGAGTTCAAGACCAGCCTGAGCAAGAGCTAGACCCCCATCTCTACTAAAAATAGAAAGAAGTTAGCTGGATAACTAAAAATATATAGAAAAAATTAGCTGGGCATGATGGTGTGTACCTGTAGAAAAAATTAGCTGGGCATGGTGGTGTGTACCTGTAGTCCCAGCTACTCAGGAGGCTGAGGCAGAAGATTTGCTTGAGCCTGGGAGTTTGAGGTTGCTGTGAGCTAGGCTGATGCCATGGCACTCTAGCCCGGGCAAAAAAAAAAAAAAAGAAAAGAAAAAAAAAAGAAGCTGAAAATACTTACAGGAAAAAAATCACTGCTTAGACAAGCCAATAGGCAGATGTAAAATGCTGGGGAAACTTCCCCAAAGCAGTCTAAAGAGCTACTATTGGCTCACGCTTGTAATCCTAGCTCTCTGGGAGGCCGAGGCGGGCGGATTGTTTGAGCTCAG